AGACCTACAGGAGACTGTCTCAGTGGAGATGAAAGTTTTCCTCTCATGTAACAGCATGGAGGCAGACTGTCAAGACCAGTGGGGAATCTCTGCTCCAGGAGGTTACCAGGAACCAGGCTCCTCCTCTCTTGCTGCCCTGACTTCTACTTGGTCCATGAGCCAAGCTGGCTTGCCATCTTGATCCTGTGCCTGGCAGTGGGCTGAAGTAAGTAAGGGGCACACCCTCTGCCTTTCCAGAAACATCCCATCGTTCCCATATTGCTTTTTCTCATATTCTATTGGCCAGTACTGATCCTATGATACACTTTAATGCAAGGGAGCTGGAAGCATGTAGCTTTTACTCTGTGCAGCCTTGGGCCCAGTTAAAACTGGGAAATACAATGGGGAGAAATGAAAACCAAAATTCGTTGTTACAGAAGGTCATTGGAGCACTGTGGGGCATGGTCTGTAAAGACACGTGTATAAAAGAAGTTTCCAGGAATACTAGATACATATGTGAATAAGCATAGTGGTATTTCATTAAAGAATGTGTTTACCACATTATACAGCATATAATAAACTCTGTAAGGCACATGAATAAAAGATGTTTTCAAGAATGCTATTTGTATATATGAATAAGGAGAGTGTTATTTCAATAAAAAGAATGTGTTTACCACAGTGTGGTACCTGGAATACATTATGTAAAAACACCCTATAAAAGACATTTCTAAAGAAAAAAAAGGTAATTAGAATTTCAACATGTCAGTGATAGAATTACTCAGAAGAGTCAATCAAGGAGGTATATGTCTATTATTTATAATGATAATTATAGAATGCTAATTGTTCTACCCTAAATATATCTTTGAATAAATATAAGGAAACATAACAAATCAATTCATGGCATACTACCAATAATTGTCCTCTAAAGGAAATTTCTGTGTTTCATATTAACTACATTACTTAGGATTGTGGACACTTGATGGGAGAATAAATTGCCTGATGGGGAAAATGCATAAATGAGCATTTAAATAGCATATAACAGCCATGATGACGTTCAAATAAAATATACTTGTGTGTGTGTGTGTGTGTTTGTGTGTGTGTGTGTGTGTGTGGTGCTGGCCTGTGTGCATACAAGTTAAATGCTCTACTACTGGGCTATACCCGTCACTGAAATATACTTTTCAAAATTCCAAGGAGTTGTTACCTAGCCTAAAGCATCTGTTAATTTGACAGTCCCTAGCCACCAGCCATACTCCCGAATTAATGTGTTCCATGGGAAGGTTAAGAAAGGAACACCTGTTTTCTCAGTCTTTCAGCAAGTATTTGTGAATAGATGCTTAAAGAGGGAGTAAGACAGGCTATTTAGATATTATTTAGAAAATAATAAATAGCTAATAGAAAAACAAAACTTCAGAAGGGAAAAATCCCTGGAACCAAGCATCTTACAATGGCAGTAGCTTTGCTGCTGGAGAAACCTGAAGCCAGGCTGGGGTACACAGCGTGGGGGGAGGATCAGTACAAAGTAAGTTTCAGACTGATTTTGTGATTGAATGCCAGTTGTCTCTTCACAAAAACCTGTGGCATTTGTACACAAAATAATATGCTCAATTCATCAATTAGAGTATTTATGATGCTAATGGCTTTAAATAAAAGCCAATAGTAGGGGAAAACTCACAGCATTTCCTTATCTGGGACAGACTTGGAGCTACCTTGTATCCATGTGTCAGGGAATAAGCCCAAACAGCTTGTACAGAAAATGATTTTGAATTGGTTCAACATTTAATTGGGGAAATTATCATCTGACATCTAGAAAGTAAAATTGAAGAGATGTATATATTTTCCTCAAAACTCCCGAGTTTCCCTGTTTTGATTCCTGGTAGAAGGGTCTGGGTAAATGGTAAACAGTGATCAGCCACATTGATAAAATGAATTCCCTTAGAAACAGCTTCTAGTTAATGAACACAGGCAGGGTACCTTGGCAGTCTCCCAAGGACCCCTAATCCTGGCTCTAATTAACCCCTGAGATGAATCAGCCCACCACACAGGACCACAGGGAGGCTGTCTGCTCCTGTTCCTGTCTGAGCAGAGAAAAGGGAGGAAGGAAAGGCAATTTAAATATTTGTACTTCAAGCAAAGTTCTCTTCATTCTTCATCAGTGACAAAAACCAAAACTACACCAAAAACAAACAAAAGAACCCCAAAGTCCCCACCCACTCGCGCACACACACACAGACACATACACACACAAAATCCTTCTCATTTTAAGAAGTATTTTTTGAGGGTTCTGGGGATTGAACCAGGACCTTGCACATGCTAGATAAACGCTCTACCACTGAGCTGTATCCCCAGCTCTTTTTAAAAATTTTATTGTGAAACCAGGTTTCACTAAATTATTAAGGCTGGCTTTCAACTTTTAATCCTCCTGCCTCAGCCTTCCAAGTAGCTGGGATTTTAGGTATGCACCACAATACCCAGCTGAGAAGCATATTTAAAAAAATTCCTCTAAGTATTAATTTCTGCACTGCAAGCTCATTTACCCCAGCCAAAATAAGACCTGAGATGCCTGTGTTAGGCAGTAGATAGTAATGAGCAGCAGAATGCAAACCAATAGCATGGCATGGTCATGAGTTTTCTTTACTTTTTTTTTTGTTGTTACCAGAGATTGAATCCACTAAGCCACATCTCCAGCCCTTTTCACTTCTTATTTTGAGACAGGGTCATACCAAGTTGCTTAAGGCCTCACTAACTTGCTGAGGCTAGTCTCGAACTTGTGATCCTCCTGCCTTAGCTTCCCGATTTGCTGGGATTATAAGAGTGCACTCTCGTGCTCAGCTTCTTTAAATAGTTTTTAAGGCAAATGAACAAATAAGTAACCTATACAAAAATAACAGGTGCACAAACCCTGAGAATAAATAGGTGGAAACAAAGGGAGCCAATGAAACAGGTCAAGAAAGAAAGATCAATGAGGCTAACTCCTGACAAGGTCTACTTGGGTCATTGTGAAGTTAGGATTTGTGGCCATAAGTTTCTCAATATATTTCAAAAGACTAATTTCTTTAATGACACAAGTGCACTAAGGTAGTTTGGCCACCAAACCCAGTTCCTACATTAACATAGGGCTGACTTGTAGATGAAGCCACTCTGAATAGGAGGCCACTATGACAAGTCTGGAGAGGACCAACTAGGGTCAAAGACTCCACTGTCCAACACAAAGGAGGAGCTCAACACATGACTGCAGAAGAGTGCGGAAGGTGAACCCCAGTTCCCAAGGCAAATGTATAACAGCAATAAATTTGGAAGCCACACTGTTTCCTTTGTCACCCTCTGCTCAGAAAGGACCCACCCTCTTGAGAGTGCTCTCTGCTTCAACCTAACTTTACTTTCACTAGAATAAAATTCTTTTGCATGGCTTTTCTTTAAATTCTTTAAATTTTCTTTTTCTGGGACACAAGAATGGAGGTTTGGAGCTTCAGCTCCCTACTCTCCTGTGACATGTGGGTCTGCTGGCCTCTGGTGCATGGGGTGTTCAGTGCTCAAAGGGGAAGGAAAGAGGTAAAAACACAGGGGGATTTTCTGACAACCCTTTTTGATGGGCTGAATCTACCCCCTGTTCTCATCAGTTGACATCTTGTTTCCCTAGCAACTCCAAAGCTAAGTGGCAATGATTAGAAACCAAATTTTAATTGTGTCAATCCATATTTTTCTTTTTTCCTCTTAACTTTTTTTCCCCCACCAGTGCTAGGGATCAACCCAGGGCCTCACATCAGCTAGGCAAGAGATCTACCACTGAGCTTATTAACTCTAAAAGTATATACTGACTGTTTTCCAAGTTTACCAAGGTCAAGAATCATGCCTTATGAATTCTTGTACCTTTCCAGCCTAGTACAGTGCTGGGCACATAGTCGGGTTACCTGAACTGAGAGGTTATGATAGCATATAGACCAAAGTAGAGGTTATGGCTGAGGAAGCTCCTTAAAAAGAATTTGGATATCCAAGTTGCCTTTACTTAACTACTCGATACAGCTGTATTCATAAATGGATTCTTCTCATATTACAGATTGGAGAATTCAATTAGTAATAACTATGCAAAAACATGTTGCAAAACAATTAGAAAAAGGAAGCCATGTAAGCCTTACTACAGAAAAAAAAATTACATAATTATGTAAATGTACATCTTTAGAATCAGGGTACAGGGTACAGCTGAAAAAGAAATCGGGCACTTGATTTCTTATGCTTTTGTTCCTGCTGGTATATACTTTATAATCCCTTTCCTTCTATGATTTAAAAGCAATTTACCAAAAAAGGGAAAGGAGAGGGATGGGGTTGTGGCTCAGTGGTAGAGTGCTCACCTAGCACACATGAGGCACTGGGTTTGATCCTCAGCACCACATAAAAATAAAATAAAGATATTTTGTCCACCTAAAACTAAAAAATAAATTAAAAAAAAAGAAGAGAAGGAGGGAGGGAAAAAGGAAGGAGGGAAGAAGGAAACAAAAAGAATGAGACAAGTGATTGTAGGGAGACCTTAAGCTTGTAGAATGAATAGCCTACAGACCCAGGCTTTGAACTGGAAGTTGTCAGATTTAGTTTACTGTAATGGGCTTAACTTAACTGCTGAAGTAAAACCAACTAAAATTCTCCTTTGTATCTTTATTAGTAAAGCTTTATTGTAAATCATACTCCTTATAGGTGTATTTTTTTCCTTCTACATTGTAGCTGAAATAGGAAAGTTGAGAAATTTCAGTACATAAACATTACATAAAAAGATTAAGGGATTATAAAAAAAATTTGACAAGCTCCTCCCTAAGAAATAGAGGTGAAGGAACTAGAGTTGTCAGAATCTGTGGATCCATCTGTGTGTATCTAAAAGAAGCCTTCTTAAATCTCACCTGGTTCTGCTTTAACGTGGACACTAGTTTCTGCAAAGTGATATTCTCTTCTTCTAGTTCAGTGTAGTCCTGAAGGAGCCGGGCCTCCCGGAACTTATATTCTCGAATTTCATCCTTCATCCGTATTCTCTGTAGCTCCACCATCTCATTGTTCTGAAACAACAGAATAAACAATCAATATAAAACTTTCTTATTCTAGATTTCATAAAGTGCAGAGACAGTTCTGCTGTCAATAATAATAATAATATTGCCTCGTGGGGCAAAATGGCCAACTGCCTTTTCTGAATGGCAATTTAGTGATATCTAATTTTTAAAAATTTATTTGTTAAATTTTAATTTGTTATATATGACAGTAGAATGCATTACACTTCATATTACACATAGAGAGCACAATCTTTCTTATCTCTAGTGTACACAAAGCAGAGCCACACTATTTGTGTCTGCATACATGTACTTAGGGTAGGGATGTCCATCTCATTCCACCGTCTTTCCTACCCATCACCCCTCATTTCCCCCCCTTTTTTGAGATGGAGACCTGATGTGTTTCCCAAGCCTGTCTCAAACTCCTAGGCTCAAGCAATCTCCCACCTCAGACTTCCATGTAGGTGGGTGGGACTATAGGCATGCATCACTGTGCCCTGCCTATCTGTCAAAAGTTTAAAACCACATATATGTGACTCAGCAATTCAATGTCTAAAAATCATTCTTAAATTTATTCTCATATAGGTAAACAAAAAGAAAAATTCATGTATGCTTACATAAAGAATTAGAAATAGTTTAATTTTTGCTATTTTTGAGGAATGATGATGAAATATGTATTCATTGTACATTACAAAATTATTTTAAAAAATGAGAAAGAATGAGTAAGAATTCTATTTTGCAAAAATGGAAATATAGTTATAATATATAATTAAATACGAAAGCAAGTTATAGATTAGTATGCATATTAGGATCTCAGGTGTGTTAAAAAATAAAAACAGTGTACCCACATACACTCACACCACAACACTTTCATGTCATAAATATATTTGTAAGAATACCCTGCAAAATTACCAATAGTGATTATTTAGAAGGGGTTGGATTAGACAAGCCAAAGGGATGAGCAGAGGCGACCATTACTTTGATTCTTATGTCCTTCTGGGTCATTTCAAAAGTTTTGACAACAAATATGTATTACCAGGTCTTATGTGTAAAGATTCAGGATATTAATAAAGCAATTAAGGGCTGGGGTTGTGGCTCAGAGGTAGAACACTTGCCTAGCATGCATGAGGCGCTAGGTTCAACCCTCAGCACTACATAAAAATAAAAAAAAAGATATTGTGTCCACCTACAATAAAAAAATAAATATTTTTTAAAAATACAAAAATTAAGTAAAATATTTATTTTTCCCCTAAAACTTTGTGCAAGTATAAGCTATGTTTTAGTACAAAATATATAATGGGTATCTACACTAATGGGTATTCACACTTATACATGCAATATATTCATAATCATGGAAAGAAGGGTTATGTTTTCTTTTAATTCAGGATCCATGAGATTATTTTCCTATTTAAACAAAGAGAAATATTACACATAGTTTTAAAAGGTATTGTAGGAAGCAAAGACATTTTCTTTTATAATACTTTGATATCCATAAGGTAAAAAGTGAATCATGACCACATTTGGCCTCTGGGCCACAATCTACCAACTCTTGATATAATATTATATAGGGTTGACAATGTTGTTATTTGCAACATGAGTGAATCTCATTAATATATTGTTGACTGAAACAAGCCAGGTGCAAAGACTAAACTGTATGATTACATGTACATAAGGATTTTTTTGCACTTCATGCATCTTTTTAATAGAAATTAAATTATTCACTTAATGTATATAATGTAGTGTTTGTTCTCTAATCTAGCAGCTTTTTAACATTCACTCTGAGTCTCATGGGAAATTTTTTTCAGCATCAAGATGTGGGTGGATGAGGGAGCAATGTTAGCATCAACTGAAAGGGTTGAAGTTCATCTGCCGCTAATAATATGGAAGAAGAAACACAGACCCATAATAGTATTATGCTTTATTAGGCCAAGATCAGAATTAACCCAATCCATACAGACTTCTTGTAAGCTGAGAATACACATGGAAAGAGATGACTTTACTGAGACTAACAGCCTTATTATTAAGACTCATCAGGGGAGAATCCATAAACTATGGCAGGGTATCCAAGAATGCCCTCTGGTTGGCCAATGCTATCCATTTCAAGACTGCGAGGAAATGAATGCTGCCCAACTACATCTCCATGATAATCATTGAAGGAAACATGGCTCCTTTAGAGGGAATTAATTCATCTGAATTATAGAAACAGTTAGGTCTTTCAAGAATATCTCTGTTATGGACATATGCTCAATTCAATCATCACCATACAAGTAGTGCTCACTCTCGTCCATCTGGTGGCTCTATACCATATCCAGCCACTAAAAGTTATGCCAGCAAAACTTCTCACTCTGAAATTTCTTAGCCCATTCTTCATCATATTCCACTACAATATATAGCATATCACAGACCTCTCAGATTTCACTATTTTTTATCATGCATGATGTCTACAAGATATGCTGAAGCCTGGGTCCCCTTGATTATGACATTTCTCGGGGCTTGGTGGAAAACCAACACACAAACTCATTGTCTTAATGTCAAGCAATTAGACATTTGATGTGTGCAGGGATTATTCTAGATTTTGCTAGCAATGTAGCATAAGAGTCATCCATAGATATAGTTCTAATCATTATAACCACTTGTAAAACAAAGTCATTTTCTGCAGCACCTGGTTTTCGTTTATCCTTGAGGTATGGAACTAAGTGGTACTATTTAAGAGCTGACTCCCATCTAAATCTGTAATGGTCAAATTTGCAAGAGTTCCCAAACATTCGTCACAAACTTCCTCTTCATCATTAGAGATCTGGGCTGCAAGGTCCCCAACAAAATCAATAAACACATTTTTAGTTGGTCCATCATGCTCGGAAATGTTTCTAATCATTTTCATCAGCAATTGATCCTTAAAGTTCAAGACATCTTCAACCCATTCCTTTAGAAAGATTCCCAAACAAACAACCTAATGATGCATCTCAAGGCCCTTGGAAAAGAAGAACAAGCCAAGTCCAAAGGAAGGAAATAATTAAGATCAGAGCTAAAATTAATGACCTTGAGAATAAAAAATAACAACACAAAGGATCAATGAAACAAAGAATTGGTGCTTTGAAAAGATAAACAAGATGGATAAGCCCTTAGCCAAACTAATCAAAAGAAAAAAGGGAGAAAATCAAATTAATGAAATTAAGAGATGAAAAAGAAGAAATCACTACAGATATCTCAGAAATCCAGCAGATCATTAGGGCCTATTTTGAAAACTTATATTCCAGCAAATTGTAAAACCTAGAATAAATGGGTACATTTCTAGACAAATACAATCTGCCAAAACTGAATCAAGAGAACAAAAAACAAGAACAAACAAAGAAAAAAATTAAACAGACCAATAACTTGTAATGAGATATCAGCAGTAATAAAAAGCCTTCGAGGGGCTGGGGTTGTAGCTCAGTGGTAGAGCAGTTGCCTAGCATGTGTGAGGCACTGGGTT